TATCCACAAATAGCTTCAATTCTTTTTTTGAAAAAAAAGTTGGGCCAAAGAGAGCCGTGTACAGAAAAAAAATCAAAGAATCAATCCAAAGAATACTTCTTTTCCAATCCTAATGAATCGAATTGGACCCAGTAGACTCCGAAAAGGTACAGGTGGTACTGTATAATCTCTTTTGTGCATCTAATCCTTAAGAAGCTGACTATCGTGAAGACATCTGTAAAACTGACGTGACTTCTGCCGGCTAAATCGGCTACGGTTAACCAAAGCGTTTGATCCCGTTTGAATTTCGGCGTACGACCATAGAGTTCGACTTGCTTTTCCAGTTCAGGTTCCTTCAATCCTAAATTTGGCCTTCAAAACATTTATTGCGAACATACTAGACCAAATCAGATCGAACAACCTTGATCGCGATGAAGTTTCTTCATCTGATCGACTTCCATAAAGGTGTACCCTCGTCGATCCAGATCCATTACCTGATCGTGGTTGAATGAAGCACGCAGTTGCTCAAAACTCTCTCCTATCTGGAAAGACACCTATCGGGGGAAATCAACAGAACGTTAAATTAGGGAAAGAGGAGGCGTTGCGTGGTGTAGGGTGGACTGTGAAGCACTTTGTCAAATGCATGGCCCCGGAATTCAATCACGATTGACGCTCATCCAGGACTAGGAAGACTCCCATGTTTCCGGAATCAGCTCATTGGTACTTCTCTCGTTTTGTCTTAGAGGGTAAAAACACTGACTATTACGTCGGCTCGCAGAAGGAAGCCTCTCATAGGTTACATACGCATTCAAACTGCCTCTGCGACTCTGAATGGAAGTCGAGTGAAGGGTGCATCCGGCTAAATGAGGTTAATCAACACCAGAAGACTTTATCCTTCATAGAGATCGGAGAGAAGAAATTCACCAGTTCCCTTTAGCCCTTAAATTTTCAGGGCAAATGCGGTTCGCCTACAGTTCGCTAGCTCCTACCTTTTCAGTGACGCTCATCAGCTCGTCCCCAAGACCAAATGAATTAAGATGCTTCAAGACCTGGAATGCACCTTATGACAAACTTTATAAGCAAAATTCGTCATGGTGATAGCTGCAGTCACCTTCATGGCGTTCTCGACGGTCTCTCGAGCTCCGGAAACTTCCATCACCATTTCGAGAATTCGTTCACGGTCTTTCTCGTTGAGACCACTGTCTTCTAGCATCTGTAGATTGAATTTTCAATACAAAAGCAAGCCATCCATATAAGGAGAATTATAACGTAACTCTCACTTCTGGTACTGGTAGGATTTGTTGCTCAGAATCATCCTTGTAGAAGGGAAATAGCGCTGGTGACAATACTCCATGATATGCCGCCTTGTCCGGTAAAAGAGGTGCAAATCGGGGACTGAGAACTCGGACGTTGCCACCTCCACTAAACGACTTCACAATGTCCACAACGTGCTTCAAGAACGGTGGGATGTATGGCTAAAATATGATGGATGGCTTTTTTTCGAAATGTTCGAAATGTGGTCGGGAAAAGGAAGCGGAAGTGAGACATAGCTTGATTGCTTACCTCGTCAAGACCGCCTTCAGAAGAGGTGTCATCGTCAACGACTATGTCGTAGATCTTCCTGTCATACACATCTTTACCAGGCAATTTTTCATTCTCATCCAACTTTTTCTT